ATCTGATCGTTCCTCTTTAAATAATAACTCTTCATTTGTGGGAAGCAAGCCACTCTGCAATATTCTCCTATACTCCAAAGCATTAAATTACTTTTCAGAGTGAAGCTCACCAATCCCAGCAGCTAAAAAGGCTCTGCACAATGACAGCTCTTCCTCCATGCTTCACTGTGGTAGAAATGCATTTATTATTATATTTATCAGCAGATCTTCAAAGACACCGCTCTGGAGCATCACCATGCAACTTGTGTTTCATTTGTGATTCATCCCTCCTCACACAACTTCCCATAATCTGCTAAAAAAAACTTCAATCTGTCTTTGATGTTTTTCTGAGACAGCAATGGCTTTTTAAGTATAGTGCATTTGCTTACATTTTGCTAATTTCCTGACCAATAATTTTACTTTTAATAAGTAAAAGTTTAGTGTATGTGTATGCAACATAAACATACAGTAGCGTTCAAAAGTTGGGGGTCAGTAAGATTATTTTAAGAAATTAATATTTATATTCCGCAAGGATGATTGATCAAAAGTGACAGTTGAGACATGGAGTTAAGACATGAAGACTGGTATTATGTTATGGCTGCTGAAAAATCTTTGCTGGTTTCAGTTTACATTTTTTCCTATTTTCCCTTTTGGCCCGAAAAATGAAAATGTGTCTAGAGTAACATCCTGATCTCTCATACAATGTGTACTCATGTGTACTGCCTTACTACACACAAGGCTAAAAGTGCATGCCCTGAAGTATACGCAGCAGTTTAGGTGCATGACGGGAAGAATGTCCGACTGTATATCAATGAACAGATCGATGTGTTTGTATCGACTGATGGATTGAAATCAATACCTGGTATGTTAAGTCAGAAGGAGTGATGATGTGTTTTAAAAGAGCAGGAGAGAAGGCTTAATCAGTGCACGCCCTTCGCCCGCAGAGACTTCGGAGGTTTCTTTGCTCATTATAAGGTATGCGTGTGTGTGTCCATGTCTGCAAATACAGGTTTGTGGATAGAGCTGTTACCTAGTGTACACGGTGTGTACGCATTATTATTATGATGCTGCGGTGGGTACCACCCCACTCCAGGGACCAAGACTTGAGAGGCCCCCTTAAAATACCGTGCAATAATTGGAATTGCTTTATCTTTAGTCTCATCAATTAATGTGCAATTTTCCATTTAATTACCAACTCGCTCACAAAATTTGCAATTAAAATGAGGCGAGATAACAGTGAAGATGCCTTTCGGCTGATAGCACTTGGAATGAGAACACAAGCGTGGTGTGTAATCAGTATACAAATCACACACACACAACGTTCTCAATTTGTATGATTTGGACGAGCTTCATAAAATATGCAACGCCAAGCTAGAATCTAATTTGTGCTTGGAAAATTCCTCACGTTTCCACGAAGTCCAACACGAAATGGTCCGAGTGCAGAGGTGCTGACCCAGTGTGTGTGTGTGTGTGTGTGTGAGAGAGAGAGAGAGAGAGAGAGAGAGAGAGAGAGAGAGAGAGAGAGAGAGAGAGAGAGAGAGAGAGAGAGAGAGAGAGAGAGAGAGAGAGAGAGAGAGAGAGAGAGAGAGAGAGAGAGAGAGAGAGAGAGAGAGAGAGAGAGAGAGAGAGAGGAGAGAGAGAGAGAGAGAGAGAGAGAGAGAGAGAGAGAGAGAGAGAGAGAGAGAGAGAGAGAGAGAGAGAGAGAGAGAGAGAGAGAGAGAGAGAGAGAGAGAGTGGGTGTGGGTGTGTATGGGATCTCCTTAAAATAGCTGCTTGGTTTGCTTTGGCCCCTTCAACCCTTTTCCACATGCTCCTGCCAACCTGAAGATGAGCTGTGAGGGGGGAAAAAACCCACCTTTCCTGTTTTCCCGCACAAACCGTTGTCTGTCTGCTGTCTGAGGAAGGTTGCATCCTGTCTGCCATCTGACAGACTTGGCTTCTGTACTGTATTCTGCTCTATGTCTCCTTGATTTTCCCACAATCCTCTTGACAATCCTCTTGTTCTGCTGTCCACAGAATTATTTACGCATATGTGCTCATTTAAACATGATTCTGTCTCTTTAAGATTTCAAGCTGTTAAGATATAGACAGAGCTAACAAGATGTTCTCAAGAGAGAAAATTACTATTTCTAAAGCTCAGAAAGAACTTTTATAGGTCACGGTTTAAATGAGTGATTTATGTCTCGTGTAATTACCGAATGGAGCAGAGGTCCCACCCACATTAACTCGGCAGATGTGATTGTACTGTTCTTTCAGAGTAATTATATATGATTGCTTATGTATTTTTAGTATTCTTTGCGATTGTTAGCTTCTGCTTATTACATCTGTGGGCTGCTACTAAAAGCCTGGAGTTCAATGGTGGACTGAAGACCGTGAGTTGGTGGGGTCAAACTGAAATGATCATTTTAATGATTCGGGTGTGATTTCATAAGTTTCCGTAACAAATATAGAACAAGACTCAACGAGTTTAACACTGAAAATACTTTTATATGCTTCATGTGTCTGGGTGGCACTAAATCTTATTTTGAATGCACTTAGACAGATGTGAAAAACAATATCCAACATTTAAAGATGTTGATGGTAACAGACTCGGTAAGTGTATATATAAGAAAGCTATAGGGTTGCAGTTATGCTTGCTTATTTGTTTATTTGTTTGTTTATTAAAAAAATCTGAATTTTCTTTTTAAAAACAAAGACTACTTTTTTTCCAGTTTTGTTTTGAAATGCAACTCAAATTTAAAATGATACGACATTTCAAAATGTGAGCAAACCAAAACGGGGTTCAGAAACGGGGTTCATGGGTCCATGTGTGGTAACAAGGGGCCAATTATCTGTAGTCAGGGTTTCCCACAGTGCACCATCCCCGGGGTCCAGCCTTCTCTTGCCCAGTGTCAATTACTCTTCTGACAACAGAGCTAATGAGCCACTGATTGGCCTGCTGGGGTTGTCATGTTTGTCTTAGTACAACACTAACTCATCATGTACCTGCACCTCAAGGTGCTTATTTTGTTTTCTTCAGAGCCGGACAGTAACGGAGTACATTTACTTGAGTACAGTACTTAAGTACAATTTTGAAGGATCTGTACTTTACTCGAGTATCATTTTTGGGGAGTACTCATGACTTTACTCAAATAATGTACTCTTTACTCCAATAAATTTCTATCCATAAACGTGAGTACCCGAGTAAAAAAAAAAAAAAGTAAAAGAAAAATCTCGGAAACCCTCAATTTGTTGTTTCCCTCTCAAACGTGATTGGATTGTGCAGGCGCCACTGATTGGGACAGCCTATCAGCAATCACCTTCAGCTTTCCGCCAAAGTTAACTCCATGGTCAGATTTTATATTACACATTAATGTAAGCCAAGCATTTGGTTTGATGTTCTTGAGTATGTGGTGTGTTTAACACAGTCAGGTTCAAATGTGGCAGTGGCGTAGCCACGAGGGATTTCTGATTTCTTAAAAAAAAACCTTCAGGAGGCAAAATATTTTACTGATTGTGTGAATTACACTGCGCAAACCAAAGTAGGCTACTACCCAGCGAATGAAGAAGGGTTGGCGCTCAGTCTCCACAGTACATAAAATATTAATTTTGTTTGTTTGTTTTGTTTTATTTTATTTTTCGGGTTTGCATTTATGAGGAAAAAACTATGTTATGGACGTGTTCTCCGTTTCGGACGTGAGCGCTCTGAAAGCGGCATAAAAAATGCTTTAAAACTTTCACAGAGACATCAAACAGAAAACACAAAACCTTTCTTTAACCTGAATTTCGTTTTGCATTAATTGTATCTTAATTTTAATCAATGTTTCATCAACCAATTGCCTGGGTTTAATAAATAAGAAGTAAATAGCAGACGATAGATAAGAAATGGAGGCGCCGGCACGTGAACTGGATCTCGTCTCATAAATGAACCGAAACTCAGTGTATAGTAGCCTACTTGCCTCTCACAGACATGTCTACTTAAAAAGAAAAATTCAAAACAAAAGAAAACAGACTACAGACTGTTCTCTGCTTATGTAATCAGTATGAAATGTGCATTTCTCTCTGGCGCGTTCACTACTGAAGATCGCGAGTCAGCATCGTCAACTTCATCTAGCCGACACTGACAAAGAAAACACTTGTTTATTAACAAGTGTTTATTAATAAACAATTAAAATATCTCCTTGCTATATTTTACATATTCATAATCATTCCTTTTGCCGGTTCTTTGTGACAGCTTTTAGGTGCTTTATTGGCAGCGCCACCCTTACATGTGGTGTGTGTGTGTGTTGTCCCCGCATTTAAAGATGGGACCCCCCAAAATTTTAATTAAATTAAATAAAGCAACATGGTAAAAAGATGAAAATGACTTGATTTTACTTTCAATTCCTTTTACATTATCCAAGGTATTAACATTAACATTTTTCATAACTCCATGTAGGACGTTTCTGTGCATAAATGTAAACACTGTGGCAGTAGATTAGTAATGCAATATTTAGAAAATTTACTCTTGTACTCTTGATACTCAAGTACTTTTAAAAACAAGTACTTTTACTTAAGTAGACATCTGAATGTAGTACTTTTACTTGTACTTGAGTAAAATTTAGCAAGGGGTATCTGTACTTTTACTCAAGTAACAAAGCTCTGTACTCTGTCCGCCTCTGGTTTTCTTGACAGACGTACTGCAAACTTAGATTGTGTTAGATTGTTAGATTGTTGTCTCTCAAACTTGTTACTAATGCCTTAATGGATTCAGTACTATTATTCATATATATGAAATGATATATAAATAGTTTAGTTTAGTTTAGTTTCAAAACAACTCAACATATTAATTTCTTCCAACATTGTATCAGTTTTTTTCAGTTTAAGTACAGCAGCACCTAGTGGTGGGTCATGGAATTGTTTCTGTGAATTTTGTTGTCATTTTATATATATACAGTATATATATGTAATTGTTTTCCTTTTGGTAAATATGCCAGTAGGTATAAATTTGGTCATACAACAACACTCTCAATAATCCTTTATATCACTGTTGTTTCCTTCAGGGTATCCATGTGAAGCTATCCCATGATGCAACATGTGTCCCCAGCACCAGCATTGACCATGATGGCCACACAGAGCGTCCCACCACCATCGTACCAGGAGAGCCAACAGGTCAGTCAACAAACAAACAGCAAAGAAAGAGGAAGGCTGTGACAAACTTTCTGTTTATTTGGGTAACCTATTTTTAAGAAAGATTTGAATGTATTATTAAAAAATACATATACCCACCTTAGATGTAGGTTTATAATCCAGTCCAGTTGCAAAAGATGCATATACAGCTCATTCTTGAATGAGTTCCCTGCTGAAATAAAAAGAAAATAAGATAGTTTAATGGTATAAGCTGGTTTAATATGGTCTCCCATCCTGGCCATGCTGTTTAACTGCCAAAAGCCTAACAAGACTGGAAGATGATAAGAACAACGAATCAAATTGTTTGTTTTTTCAAATCTCCAATTGTGGACGTCGAAAAGGTGCATTTGTGGTCCTGTGCAACATTTAGCATGTGAAATCTTCATTGTGCTTGTCCTGAGGTAATCAGAGGGACACAGAGCTACGTTTTTGTCCCATAGTCCCCTCTCCCTGTCCAGCTGCTGTGTCCCTCCGCCCTGAGGATTAGAGGCTGGGGAAAAGAGAGCAGCGCGCTGGTGGAGACATGCAAATGAGAGCTAGTTAAGTGTGAAGAAGCTAATTTATTTCCTATTTGAGGCTGGGATTAAGACTTCCAGCTTCCTCCCTTAAACCATTTTTGTTCTGGGGAGGGAGACAGGAGGGGGCTTGCTTTCAAAGCTGCATCACAAAAGAGAAAGAAAAACAGGACAGGGATAGATTGGAAAACGTAGACAACAGGAGAGTTGTACTCTCTCTCCCACTAATGCATCCTAAACAGGGTATTTGTGCATCCTGACATTGTTTCGAATGCGAGGGCAAGACCTCTGCCCACCTCGACTGCCAGAGTTTTATTTGATGACTAGGTGGAACATATTCCTGCAGAAGGTGACCTACGTAAAAATTTAGGGGTCAAGTGCCTCAAATTAGATTCCAGATTTTAATGAGACCATATGCTGCAGCCGCTAACGTTCTTACATTGTCAAGATGGGCAAACCGAGAGATTGCAGACACATTGGAAGTGCCTTCCTGAATATGTATGCTGAGAGTTTTTTTTTTTTTTCTTACTAGCTTTTACCTCAAGTTTTTCTAGAACTTCATCTGGATGTGTGCCATTTTTCCTCCAATGCGGAAAAGATAACAAACCAGATTACTACATGCACATTTCCGCTCTTACAGCTATAAAAGCAAAAAAAAAAAAAGCACGAAAGTGAAGCGTTAATAAACTAAATCTGATAAGACGACAGTGCCTGGCTGTGAGCCACCAATAACATGCACATGAGCAAGATGATGTTGAACAGCATCTTTGGCTCATCAGTGTGGAGAGGGTAAAAGCAGAATGGGTTGCATGCTCTTCAAACGCATGCTATTTAGTTTTATTTATGTTTGTCAGGAATTACGAGCGGATTTAATTGCTGTAAATAAGTCCAAGAATTCTGTAAAGAAAACTGAATTTGATTAAAAAGAGAATCTGATTGGTGTCCAACATTGTACAGTAAATCTAATCTTAAAGGTGTCACGGTTCTGTTAGTTTGTACTTTTTGTGTTTCACCACCTTCTGCCTGAGTTAGTCTTTTGTTGTCTTGGTCACTCATTATGTTCAGCTGCGCACTCATTATCTCCATCATTATCACGTGTACTTAATTTCAGTTCTGTGTGTGTTTCATTGTCGGGTATCGTCTATGTTACGTGTGTGTATCACTCTCTCTGTTTGGATTTATCTTTATGCATTTGGATTTATTAAAAGACTGCATTCTCTCTTCATCATCGTGTTCAAAGTTTGATCATCTACTCAGCGGTGTGACAAAAGGAATAGTTTCATATTTTTTTTAATTGTTTAATTGTCATATTTACTGGCATGACATACCAATCCTGCATGATTTTTCTTTCTTTAGTGGAACACAAAAGGAGAAATTGTTTTTGGTTGCCAAACAATATCATAGTTTTTACCACATTAAAATCAGTTGTAGTTGAATTTTTACAGTTGAATTTGTAGTTAGAACTATACATTTTATGTTTTATATATATATATATATATATATATATATAAACACAGATGTCAGTTTTACTGTTTAGTTTGGTACTGTTTTTATCTGTTGTGTAATATACTTATTATTTTGGTTTATGTCCAAGTTCAAAATAAAAAAAGAAAATATTCACAAATTAATATGACGATGTACCTTTCATTTGTAAAATATTTGAATCACTTGATTATCCATTTAATGCTAGTAGATGAATTTTTAATCTCCTAAATGAAAAAAAAAGCTCCATAAAACCTGTATTTATATAGCGCATTACACAATATAGATTAACAGGATAATAATGATTTAATTAATAATGCAAACAGAATTCAAAAAGGCTAACTCTAAAAAGACAATTGTGTCATTGTTCAGCTTAAGTCAGTTCAGTTTTGATTCAGTTCAGTTCAATAACTGTGTAAAATTAATAAATGATTGTAATTGAAGTATGTTCAATTGAAATATGTTCAATTCAGCTATAAAGCAGCTCTGCAGAAAACAGTGATGATGTCAGTGTTTTCTGCAGTGGTCCAAATGAAAATGTTTGTGTGTAATATGGTCAGAATATTCTGCAGTTCTTCTGATTTTCTGTATTGTGCATTTTTTCAGATGACAGGCACTACGCAACAAAACTCGAAGGCCCAGCATGTCCACCTCTCTGCAGGCTCAGCGGCTGGGGCCGCCCCGGTCAGCGTGACGCTCGACCCTCAAGCCCAACTGGAGTCAGACAAACGAGCCGTTTACAGGTGAGTGTTGTGCAATAGTGCAACGTCTTATTAAGGACATCATTTATAAGAAAATCAAGATTTTGACTTTCTCCGAAGAAAATGTGAGTAGTGCTTGTATGATGCAATAATGGGCAACACGATGCAATGATGTTTTGGATGGCATACACTGCCATTAGAAAGTTTACCGTTGCTAAGATTTTTTAAGATGTCTTTGAAAGACATTTCTTATGGTCACCATGTTTTTTATATTAAAATGTAATATTAATGTAATTAAATGTAATTAAACAGTAATATTGTGAAATAGTATTAAAATTTAAAATAAGTGTTTTCTATTTGAATATATTTTAAAAAAATTATTAATGGCAAATCTGATTTTTCAGCAGCCAATACCCTTCTTCAGTGTCACATGATCCTTCAGAAATCATTATGCTGATTTGGTTCTTATTATGAATGTTGAAAACAATTTTTCTGTTTAATATTTTTGTGGAAACCATTATATTTTATTCAGGATTAATTGATGAATGGAAAGTTGAAAAATAAATCACTTGTAGCATTATCAATGTCTATTCTATTTAACATGTTCTATTCTATTTCTAAATGTTTTTCTGTGTCCTTGCTGAATACAAGTCTTTCTTTCTTTCTTTCTTTCTTTCTTTCTTTCTTTCTTTCTTTCTTTCTTTCTTTCTTTCTTTCTTTCTTTCTTTCTTTCTTTCTTTCTTTCTTTCAAAACAAAAACTAAAAAAATACATACTGACCCCAGACTTTTCAACAGTAGGCCTAATGTGTGTAATATACAACAAACTATATGAAATCTTTTGTGTTCCTTTTTTTTCCCAGTGAATATTATATAGGTACCTGTACGCCATTGTTCCATCAGATATAAATTATGCAGTTTTATAGTTATTTGAAACCCTCATAACATATTGATCTAAATACAAGCATACAGACTAGACGCTTGATTTGGATAGCAACACGCCTGCATAAGTCATATTTTCCTCGTTTATTCATGAAGTAAATAATACATGGCACACTGACACTTTAAATACTTAAAACCTCATTCCCAATCCTCCCCTTCCCGGTTGATCACAGCGCGGCTGTTTGCGAGCCGCATGCATATCGTAGCATCACCGGGTCCTGTGTGAAGGCAGCCGCGAGGGCTCGTTCGACCGGCTGCGGCGCTGGCTATGATTAGCGGTGTCTCGCGGCGGCGTGGCAGAGGCCCGTGGTTTGACGCTAACCCCTGAGGCAGGTCTGTGAAGGCCTGGGCAGGCCTGGGGCTCAGTCTCTCAGCTCCTCAGAGAGAGAAAACTGCCTTTGATGCGAGCAGCCAGCCGGAGGCGGCCTGCAGGCGGTGTGAAAATAAAGCCTAGACTCAGCCTACATTCACACTACGTACACAAACACACACATAGAGTCTGCTCCTACTTCCCTCTCGTTCATACTCAGCTTCTCACTCGCCGTATATATCTCACCACCTCCTTCTCTCTCTCTCTCATACACACAGATTTCTGGTTTCATCCTACGTGACACATCTTAAGTGCTCTAAATATTCAAAGGCGCAACAGAGAGCCATCACTTATAACTTGTTCTGATCCTCATCCGGCACAACGAAAACGCACAGGTGAAATAGATACCAAAGAGAATTTGTATTAGACCTGATATCTAGTACTATCAGGTCAGGTGTCAAATCGAATTTGTGTAAAAATACACAGAAAATATACTGTACAAAAAAGAATGATACAAATAAGGAATAAGAAATGTAATGTAATAAATAATAGGGATATATTTAGATATTTCATTATGTTTCATTATACCTAATTTGTAAGTCATTTTACATACAGTATATCTGATAAATGAAAAATAAATGTAAAATATGGATGCAAATATATGTATTGTAATTACTCATAATTGCCCAGTCAATCTCTTAAATTCAGGACATACATTTTTATTGGCCAAGCAACCGTGTACATGCTGAGGCACAACAGAAAAGGATCGCTGGCAACGTCATGGTTGTGGGTTTGATTCCCAGGAAAACATAAAGTACTTATAAAATGTATACATAAATATAAGTAGCTTTGGATAATATATTTGTCACCTCAGAGTCATTATTTGGCAAATAAATTTCATTGTAATATATATATATATATATATATATATATATATATATATATATATATATATATATATATATATATATATATATATATATATATATATATTTTTTTTTTTTACTGATCTTTGATAATATAAATACAGCATTGTTGAGCATTAAAAAGTCTTCCTGACCCCTAACTTTGTTATGCAGAGTATAAAGCAACATGCATCTCACCTCCCAAACTATAATGGGCATTTAACAGAGAAAAAATTATAATAATTCATAGCTGTTTGTTTATACTGCATCCTTGTGTATTGTTTTGATTCAATTTGGCAGGTTGGTGTTTATTTCCGCACCTTTCGTTTCTCTAATTGCCAGTATTGTGAGTTTGAGTTGTTGAGTCTATGCTCTGGCATGTGTTGCTTAATTATTAACAGTAGAATAAATGTGCGATACAGTAATTATCTTAACGAGTTACTGCACTCTCTTTTAAAGCATCCGAGACCTTCTCTTCTTATTAGAAACGAGGCAGGGGGTCTCTTTCCTGTGGGGTACTTGCGACATATCCAAAATTAGCTCCAATAAAATTCAGGAGATGAAATTGTAATATGTATCCAAAGAAGTTCCTGAGGGTGTAAAATTCAGCACTCTTCCACAATGATAAAAGCGAGATGGAAAGGAAACTCAGCTGGGAAGTCAGAGAGTTTCATGAGTGAACCGAACAAAGAAACCCAGCAAATGTTTTTATTGCCGAAGAACTTAATAAAATTATTATATAAATTAAATAATATTGTAGATAAACTTAAAACTCAAACTAATGGGAAAAATAATTGGTGAAAATGCAAACTTTTTTCAGGAATTCAATCCTTCATTCCTCAGGCACAGAAATTAATATATCGACTCATCCAGAGTTTAAATAAATAAGGCTTTTACTATTAAGCAAATCAAATGTAATCAATATATTCATGATTTGTATCCATTGTAGTCCATATTTAATCCTTCAAAATTAGACATTTCTTTGAAAATCTGTTTTGTGTGTACAGAATGCTTCGCACCTCTCAGCATCCATATTTTGAAGTATTTATGTCTATGTATAGTGTTCAGACCCTCATAGGTGTGCTTATATTAGGTTATTGAAACATCTGAATGGGGTTTATGTGTTTCTTGCCCCTCTTGCCATGACTCAGACTGGCGCGTGCTGAGTGGATTTGCATTGATACTGGATTTCAGTCTTGTGGTGCACAGTCATGCTGTCTTCATTGAGCTCCAGTGGATCAGGGGTGTCAAAGACTGACGGAAGAGAGAGAACGAGGGAATAGAAAACAGAAAAGGAAAAGGAAATTAGAGAGTTGGGGAACAGCTTTAGAAGACCCAGCAGTAGCAGCAGCGCATATCAGTCCCAACAGGAGTGCTTTTAATTTGACAGCCAGAGAGGAAATGGTGAGCCAGTTCTCCCCAGCCGCTGTAATGCACCATAAATTCTGTTTACATTCGCTGTTGGGGAGCTCTCGCAGTCATTTGGTGCCCAACATCTTAACGACTCTCTCTCTCTTTCTCTCTCCTACTAATGGTGCTACGATTTCTATACCATCCAGAGTAAGTCATCTTATCCAAGCCATAGATTCATCCTGAGAGAGAGTCAATTCTAAATCTTGTGCGTCAGGCTAAAGCTGGGCACAGACTACTGGAGTTTTTAAATCTTAACCGATTGTGAAATCTGGTTGCGTCACGCACATAAGGATTAGACATTTAGACAAAATTAGACATTTCTTAAACCCAAAATCTAAAAACCCAAAATCTCACCCTTCAGTCATTTTCTTATTTCAAATCTCAAACCTGCACACACTACAAGATTTGAAATCCATGGCTCATCACACACTACAAGATTTTCTTACGATTATCATGCCAGATTTAGCACCTCACTTGATCTCAAGCGGATGTAAACAAAATGGATACTGTGTCGTGGCAACTTGCTTTAGACATTAAATGAGGAGAAATTATAAAGGCAGTCGTGTTTGACCAGCCGTTCATCCATCTTGTCCACCAGAACTGTACAGCTGCTTGTTGTTTCGCGGTTGCCATTTCAAAAGTTCTGTCACTTCCTTCTCCTTGTAGACTTCTCTCGTTGGCTATTGTAGAAGTACTGACGTAATCACAGTTGTAATCATCCCGATTTAAAATCCTAAATATTAAACATGTTTGATATTGTCGACCGCAATGTATCCGCGAGCGGATCGGGAGGTTAAAAATTTGACCTGTAAATGCCTCTCATCCATCAAACAGTGGAACGGCCGATGCCCTGGACACGATTTTTTCACTGTATGTCGGGAGAGGTAAATCAGCCATAAATCAGCCTGAAACTCCTGTAGTCTGAGCCCGTCTTAAAGGATGTATTTTTTAGATTGTTACTGGCAGATTATGGTAAATAGTACTCAAAGTATCTCAGGAAATCTCTGAGGGCACATTTATATCCGAGTAAGATTTTGTTCCTCAATTTAAAACCGTAGACGTCGAGTTCTATTCCATTTCATCCTGTCTTGTGTCTCCAGGGTGCACAGTGTTCTGAACTTCACAGACTGACTGTCTAAAGATCGAACCCAATCTGACTGTCTGAAGATTGAACGTGTGTGTTTGTTAGCAAGAGCTAGTAAAGTCTGTGAATGAATCTAATACTTGTTAGCTGCATGTGCTTGCTTGCTTAGGAAATGTTATTGCTCAGGGTTAGAGGACTGCAACTTGGCAACAGCATAGCAACAGTCTAAAAACCCAATTTGACCATACTAGCAGCTACATACAGTAGTAATGCCCTAACAACTACTCGGATCACCATAGCAACTCTATAAACAACTCAAAACACCATAGCAACTACAGTACATTGCAACACCCTTCACAACTTCCAGGCTAGTCTAGCAATGCATACAGT